GGTTATTACTAGTATCACAAAATGTGAAGCAGCGTTTTATTGGCTGTTGATAACTTGCTGTCTACACAGGCAAAAGTTTTTATCTTGATAATGTTATCAGGCAAAATTTTGCCAATGGAGACCGCATAGTGCTCTTGGCAAGCACTAATTATCAGATCTTTTATCTTGATAAATATTCAGTCTGTTCGAATAGAGTCCGGTGTACAGGATGTAGTCAGAACTTACAGGAAGTCGTTGCTATTGACATAAAACCTGAAAGTGGGGACACTTTTGAGAGAGTAACTGAGCAACTGTTCCTAGTGAAAAGTTACAGGATTTAGTCCGGAGTTTTTTTCTTGTAAGTTTATGGAAAGTGTCAAAACGATCAGTTGATTTGCATTTGCAAACAAAAAGTGAAATAAATTTATATATTTGTTAAAAAAAATGGAAGTAAGCAACGAAATATTGGAAAATGTCAGTATTTATTCTTAATTTAATACATTTTATTAATTGCTAATTTATCTTGAAGGTAAATCAGTGTGGTACTAATGAAGACTCTGGAGGTGTGTGCGTTTTACATCCAAGTAATGCAATATTCGAAGATTATGTAAGTTACAATTTCTATTTTATCACATTGTTTTAACCGAAATCATTTTAATTTAGTCAAGAAGTTCTGATAATGACCAGGAGGATCCTGAGAATAACAAAATTTTACACACAATTGTGGCAGAGCTCGTGGATTCATCAAGCGAATCAGACGACGAGATTTATTAACTGCTTGCTGGGAATTCTGACAGCGAAGATGATGCACCCAGAAATTGTATAAAAAACTACTTTGAATGTGTAGTACCCGCATACACCGACAAAGAATTTGTTACACATTTTCGTATTACGAGGGAGCTATTTACCAATTTAGCAATGAAATATGAGGGAAGCGACATACATATATAGAAACCTGCGCTCCAATAAGTGATTTTCAGCGGACAAAAGTCTAGCTTTGTTTCTGTGATTTTCCGGCCATGAAGCGTTGAGTTTTCGCGACTTGGCCGACCGCTTCGATGTAACAATTTCTAGCGTTTCCCGTACGATTGAAAGACTGACAGTTTTCATTAGTAGAATGAGCCCAGAGTGCATTAAATGGCCCAGCATTCAGAGAGAGAAAGAAGCCGCCAACTATTTCGCGAAGCTTGGATTTGCAAAGGCAATAAGTAGGAAAAAAATTTTAAAATTTATTGAATGTTATTTGTATTTATGAACTTTTCTGTTTTAATATAAGGCTGTATAGATGGGACGCACATAGTAATTGACCCCCCTGCTGATCGCAAAGACGTTTACATTGATAGAAAAGGCAACGTGACACTTGTAATGCAAGCAATTTGCGATGAAAGGAAGAATATTAAGAATTTCGCATATTTTCACTAAAATATCGAACTTTTGATTATATATATACATATTTTTTTTGGTAACTAAGAAATAAAAATAATTAAAAATAAAAATAATAAATAAAATAAAAGTAGTTAAAAAATAAAAATAACAATTAAAAGAAAAAAAGCGGATATTAAAAAACATTGGCTGGCAGTAGTATTCGAACCCACAACTTCGAAACAGCTAACAGTTCAGACGAGAGAAAACAGAGCTGTCCATATGAAAAATAAAAATTGACTCGGTAATATAAAGCGATTTGAGTACTTTAAAAAGTTCACCCTGTGTCCGCGGCAGTATTGCGGATGTAGTAAGCCGCAAAATCGGGGCTGGGGATGCCCACTGCCGGAAAATATTTTATTTACATATTTTTTTTCTTTTAATTGTTATTTATTCATTTATTTTTTTATGTTGTTACATTTTTAATTAAAATGAAATTTAATTATAATTAATATCTCATATTCTCGTCTGTTCCAAAATTTCAACAAGGTTGCAAGCAAAACTTTACAAAGTACATATCGATATTTTCTAATGCAATGTATATATATACTACGGTATTCATGTAGTATTGGTGCTATTTTTTACATTCCATGCGTACCATTTTGGAAAACGTCTTAATACATCCAGCTAAATTTCAAACGACTGGCACTCGAGTAGGCGCATTTACCTTCAAATTCCGCACAGGTGAATCATTGAAAAAAATTAAGTACGTCATCAACCACGTACTTTTTTTTAGTTTTAACTGCAATCTGCAGTAAAACCAAACCCTTTTTCCCTCCTAAACAAATTTCAGTAGAAATAAATTTTTTTTTAGACGACCTAAATATTTTGTACTTCTGCAGATATAACTACATATAAATTCAATATGGTTTTGATAGTAAACAAACCATTTACCGTCATACTTACACTTTGACTTCAATAAAGAGCTTTACCAACGGAAGGTTAGCTACCAAATACCATCTATGCTAAAAATCTTAAGCAGTGTGCAAAAGATATAAACTGTACCTAACCTGAAGCCCGAATGATTCATCTACGACAAGCTGTGAGTTTTTATAGGCGACTAAACACTAACCACCAGCGAAGTAGAAGAAAATATATGCTGCCACAAGCTACCTACTAGTGAGCCACAATCTACCTAGTAGCAACCCCACCACCGCATAGCACAACGTAGCGTTTGTTTAGAAATGAAAGAAAAATTTGCTTGCAAAACTGGTTTTATGTATTGTATCCAGTGTTGCCAGGTCTTCAGCATGAGAAAACGTCCCTCTTGGTCTGAAAAAACGTCATTTTCTACCCAAAAACGTCTTTTTCAAATGAATGTACAAAAAACTGTTCTTATTTAAACTTTTATTGTATACAAAGGTACATATCGAGCCCTAACCGCCAAAATAACGTTAGCGACATTTTTTTCAAAATTTTCTTTTTGATTCAGAAATATTCCTAGAGCATCTAGATGCATATCTGCATCAAAAAGAAAATTTTGAAAAAAATGTCGCTTACGTTATTTTGGTGGTTAGGGCTCGATATGTACGTAAGGTATATTAAAATATCATTTCGACAGAGCACATTTAAAATTCATTGTAAACTGGTCTGAGATCGTTAATATAAAAATCATTTTATACATACAATTGTGATCAACTGATTAAGTCATCAACATTTTGATCGATTTTGGCTGTTTCTCTTTCGTTTATTTAATGTTTATTATTTTTCCATAAAAGCCAAGCTCATTAACAAACAAAATATAAATCCACAAAAATTGTGCAAAAATTATAAACAATCTGCAAATTTTCAGCTAGATTTTCAACTTTCTACTCAGATTTTTTAGCCCATTAAATTTCAGGGCAATAATGTGCAAGTTTTAAGGGGCTAAATAATCACGTTGATTTTTAATAATTTTTTTTTCTTGTAGAAATTTGGTTAGGAGCTCGGTTGTCGAAAATGCTAAATTACGTTCTGCTAAGAAGGAGCATAGCAATACTTTCAAGTTTTTACTGGAAATGCATTCAAAAACCCAAAATATTTGCAAGAGGGAGCGAATTCGAGGGCGTAACAACCCGAGATCTGCAAATTCTTGCAAGTAAAAATTTTACTTGCAGGAATTTGCAGGAGTCCAAAAGTAAGGTTATGTTTCAAATTCAAATGTAAACAAACTGTTTAAGAGGATGATTTGATGAAATATAATTAGTGAAATGAAAATATGGATAAAAAATTTTAATCTGTTGTATATTTTTTACTTTTATGACGATGAGAACTATTCCCAATTAAAAAGAAAATTGCGCGCCAAAACTTAAGCGTCAGAAAGTGTCAAAATGGCTTAAGTTGCAAGTTTTTACTAGTTTTGCGCTCAATAACTTTTTCTGAAAATTTTCTCTTGTTCTCAATTTTACTCTCTATTTTTATTTACGCTCTCGATGCAAGTACTTACTGGAAAAGTTATTGAATGGACCTAATATTTCAGTCTTTTTCACACAAAAAACGTCCAAACGTCAACAGGGTACAAAAAACGTCCAAATGACGTTAAAGACGGCAACATGGCAACGCTGATTGTATCCAAGTTTTCTTTTAGTTAAGTATTGGTGCTGTAAATCCATAAATCCCGAATTTTCGGGACCACGATGATGTTTAGATATAGAAAGAAGAAGCATGAGTGATTATACGATATTTTTGCAATTAATAAAGGCCTATAACACACGTTCATTAAAAGATTGTTAATCCCCAGGTTTCTTAATTACAATTTATCCAACCGGTAAAATGAAAAATTTCTAAATAATATGTTATAAAGAAAGTTATTTGTAATACAATAAAGCAACACCTGCAAGCCTAAAATGGCTCAAAAATCGTAATACAGAGCTCCCTGTTTCGTTGTATCTGTAAATTATATTATGTATCTAGATACTTACTCTATCTTATTAATGATTAATTGAAATTTTCCTCGTTGAAAGTTACAAACTTCTTGTCGTTCAGCAATCCCGAATTTTCGATACTAAATAAAATAATCCCGAATTTATTTTTAATGCAAATTTTAGCAAAACTAATCTCTTTTCGTGTAGATATATTGTGGATAAAATGGGGATGGTCCTAAAGTGAGCTAGAAAAGTTTTCATACTGATTAAATTATATTTCAGTGTTTGTAATTTCAGTTCTTGGACAGTTCTAGTTTTTGAAAATACAATACAATTTATTGAAAAGTGATGTGTTACTTAATAGAATTTCCGAATAATAAAAAGTTAGCAAAAAAAGAGAAATTAGTTGTGCCATTATTGTGCATACATATTTTACTGAAAAAATTTACTTGATGCCTCATAAAAGCATGTTTTTTATGTAGGTCTTCCTGAGTATATCGACTAAAATTCCCTCAACTTGAGCATTAAGCATGTTTTCTGAAATTGATTGTAATAAAAATTGCGATAAAAATTTAAATTTAAACATTATTTCATTGAAGAAAAGTATCTGAATTGAGGTAGAAAGGTTTTCTCATAGAAATGTTGTAAAGTTACCCCAAAGTTTCGATTTTCTCAGTTTTAAGAAATATGCTTAGTTAAACATTAAAAATGCTGTAAGACTCCATTAAACCTGCAAACGAATTTAATATAAAATACTTTTTTCTGGAAATTTTACCGAGTTAGGTATAACTTTATTACTCCAAAACTATTTTTGATAGTTTTTTTACTTATATGACTATTGGTGGACATCTAAGATTAGTTAGTAATTAATGTATTTGTCGGTTTGGGCCGAGACCGGAAAAATTAGTAAATTATTTCTCTCTTCGCTAAGTTGTGCCAATTGTGCATCCCCATTGCGGAAAAAGTGTCGAATAAACAGCCTACATACATAGAAAAAAAGAAACTATTTTTTATACGATTACTCTTGCTGCTCACTGTATGTGTATGAATTTTTAGATTAAGATTGCTTACCTAATGCATTGTAGGTATTCACAAAGATGGAAAACCTGACACTTTGGCTTTTTAAAATCCAAGTTCTATGGAGGAATGTATGTATGCAACTTATGCTTTCCCTTCCGAGGAAAGCGTTTTTTTTTAAATAAGAACGACTCTTTACTTGATCCGCATCTCGCGGACAATTGTCAGAAGTGAAACCTTTATTTCAAGTGTCCCTTATTTATAAGCTAACATTTGTTTTCTTAAGAACTAATTTCACAATAGGGGTATTCTCGAAGTCTTGCACGAAATGCAAAAATTCTAATTCAAATTTCGAAGAGAACGAGAGCACCCCATTACAAAGTGGTATCATGCATGGCTAGCAGCCAGCGAAATTATGTATCAAATACAATAACAATAGACAGCAAAAAAAATGAAGTGAGCGAGATGAGAGGAATTCATTTATCTTGCTATGCTATTTTCCAAAATATATACATGGGTTTCGACGTTGCGTATTTTGCGGCGATAGGAAATGTTCTTTCCCATGTATTTTGTTGTTGTGTGTTTGCAAGTTATGCAATCCATGCAATCCGTGCTACGTGCAATGGCTTTGCAAGATTTGGAGAATACCCCTAATGACGCTTTGGCGTTGCATCAGCCAGTGGATTGATGAAATTCCAATACGTAAGAAATGCGGTATTGTTTTCTTAATTTTTTATTATACAAAAGTTTACAGAAGGAACAGAAAAGACTTTATGCGTTCTGGGCTATTGGAATGCAGTTATGTTTATAGTGGCTACTATGCCGCTATGTGGTGTCTTTTCTTTGGTTTTTAATTAAGAATGCAAATATCTGTCAGCATTTTGGCCATTTGTTATTTTCTTTATGCTTTTAATTAAAAATTGAGGGTGGGAATATGCTGTCTGTATTTGAACTTTATTGTCTACAATTTGTATTTAAATCGTTATGTGTGGTCTGCTGTTAACTTGCAGGTGGCTTGTAAATTCAGATCAAAACGAATTTATGTATATAAGTTGATGTTGCTAGAACAGCTGATTTCCAAATTTCTTATGAGTGAGTGGGAAAGTGTTGAGTGAGTGAGTGAGAGTGTTGTTCTTTCTTTTACTCTTCTTCCTTGAACGAAGAATAGCTGGAATTTTACATCTTCGTATCCTCTTCAAGAATACCCCTACTTGAGGTGCGCATGGCAGCAGCGACACGCAACCGAGTACATTACTCAAGTACCTATGTATGTATGTATGTATGTATAGCATACCCGTATTGAATTTTCTGTGCTCTGCTCAACACTACCCTGCAGGAAAAGCTTTCTACTAGTTTTGAACTAGAATGCTACCAGTTTGTGTTTCAGCCCAACTAGTTCACGTTATGTATATCCTTTTTCAATGTTGGCGACTGGTATTTTATAGATGGTGATGTCCTACGAGAAGTCAATTGACTGGCTATGCATCAGCATCGACTAGTAGAAATACTAGTCGCATCATTCCAGTTGATAGGATAGTCTGCCAATTCATCAACCCGTAAAAGGCTAAATTTTTGAGATGAAATTAGATTTTCAAATTTCAAAAGCTGGTGGCGCTGGTCGCAAAAGTTGCTCGAAATTGCCGAACTAGTATGCCATCGCTTTAGGTAATAAATACTAGCTCATTAACTGGTATTTTTACTGACTGGTTTGGCTTTTCACTGCAGGGTACGGACACTCGTGCACTGTACAAACACACGTACATGTATATGTACGTTAATATCGCTCATTTACTTTAATACTGTCATAACTCAAGAAACCAAAAACTGGAGAAAACTGCTTTAATGTTTTAAATTTACATCTACGTCATAGTAAAAATTAATACATATTTTTTTGTTAAAGTGAACTACTGCTAATCGGTATAGCTATGTAATTTTTACACAGTATAGAAGAAGCGGTAGCGGTCATTTCTGCATACTTAACTTGATTTTGTATTATTTTGAATTATGTCACTATTGAAGTGAATGCACCTACTTTTATCAGCACTTCCTCGCCCATTCGTTGGTTTCCTCGTAATAACTCTGTGTTCGTATGGAATAGTAGCTTATGTCGGGAAGCTGGCTTTAGTATAATGCGGCATTCCCTTTATTCTTTAAAATACAAGGAATTTTTAGATGAGACTTAATAAGAATATTGACTTGCTAGTATCGAAACTATTTCTGCACGTTTATTTGCCAAAAGTTCTTCAACGGCTCGGCGCCGGTGAGTCATTCGCGATCGTATGCTGCGAATGCCGCATTATACTAAAGCCAGCCTTTCGACATAAGCTACTATCCATACGAACACAGATTTTATTTATGTCCAGCTACAGGGTGGGCCAAATAAGACCTACCAATGGTAAACTTATTTTTTAATATTTTTTTCTGCATGTTATAGTTAATCTCTTGGAAAATCATAATGGATACTTACAGCAAGGCCACCAACAACGACTACAATGCGCTATTCGTTTTACATAAGCCAGACAAATTGATATGGATGAATTGAATTGAATTGATATTAGGTAGTGTTTTGATGTCGGATGAAGCGCATTTCCAAGCGAAACTGTAGATTTTGGAGCTCGGAAAATGCAAGGGCAACACACCAGAACCAGTTACACCCATCCAGATGCACTGTTCGGTGCGGTGTTAGGGCCGAAAAAAGTTATCGGCCCATATTTCTTCGAGAATGTGGATGAAACGCCTGAAACGATTTCTGGGGCTTCTTACAGAACAATGATTGAAAACTTTTTGCGGTCAACGACAGAGATGGTAGTTCTTATTTGGCTCACCCTGTACTGAAAATAATTTTATGGCAAGTAGGTTAAATATTTCACTAACCAAATGGTTTGTGCTTGCAGTTCTCAATGGGTTTATAGAATAACGTGGTTATAATTATGCTTGGTTACTTGGTTTAGTTATCGCTTCTCGGCCTTATGGCTAAGATCAAAGTGTAGTATCTGTTCTTATCAGCTTAACATCTGATAGATCCTCCATCGGAGGACAACAAATGTTAAACTGATTTTTGGAAATGGGCGGAGTGTTTTAGGGGCTTGCTCCACCTCTGCCGCGGGTTGGCCCGGTATTGCAGTACCGCCGGGATTTCGGCCCAAATATTGAATAAATAACAACTTCAAACAGTGTACAAAAGCCATGGCGTTGCTTTGCATGGCGATGTCGTCGCAATTATGCGCAAGAAAGTTTCAATACGAGAGCAATTAGTATTGCAAGGTGGCAGATTTTGTGACAAATGCACATTCACGTTTTTATAAAAAGTGTGTTGCTTGCAAGATTTTCTTGTGTCAGTGAAAAAAAAAATTAGTTTTGGAATAATTGAATCTGTGCTAAAAAGAAATGTATGGATGTAAAAGATATTTTCTTGGTTCTTGAATTTTTTTTTGATTTTGAAATTTTTCAAGTTCCAATAAATTTTATTAAAACTAACCCTCGAATTAAAAAAAAATTATTTGAACATTAATTTGATTCAATAAAATGTGATTGAATTTCGAACTTAAATTTGATATTTCGATTTAATTACTTAAAGTTAATTACTTCAAATTAAACATTTAATTTTTTCTTTATCTTTAATTACCAAATTAATTTGGTATTTGCAATTCTCATCCACTTTATT